TTCGACGTGAAAGAAGGACAAACAAACAAACACACTTTCACATTTATAATATTAGCATCGATAAGCAACGTAAAATAATATGCATATATAATAAATGGAATGATAAAAAGAAGATAACTTTTTCGTTTAATTAATTATCTCTGAGCTAAAAAAAATCACGTCAATTACTTATTACTTAGTTGTTGAGTTATAGACAGTCGAAACTAAAAATTACTTTTGTATATATAACATTAGTAGGAATATATTATATATATATATATATATATATATATATATATATATATATATATATATATATTTCACTGCGATAAAAAATTAAGTGGGATAAATTATCTTAGACTGAATCTATTTTAGTTTAACCACATTTTAAGAATTTAACCTTTTAAATACACCTGACTTTTTCCTTTGTTCGATACAATAGCTTTATTAGCCTTTATACTAGCATTTTGTTGCACCATTTCGGTACAACGCCTATTGCTTATATGTAGAAAAGTATGTCCGTCTGTAATTTTAAATATGTATATAGTTTACTAGCTACCTAGGTACCCTCGCTTCGTTTGGGTGCTTCACTAGGTACTTTTTATACTTATGATATTATATACAGATAGAGTCACCTTTTAGCAAATTTTGCTACTAAAAGTAGCCTATTTTTACTCCAGCTCGTACATAGTCCATCTATTTTGTAAGTTTCACTCAAAACCAGCCCGCCATTTCAGGGAAAAGTTGTATCAAACATACACAAACCCACGCACTCAAACAAAATTTCGCATGCGTGATTGCATGCTATCAATAAAAAAAGTATTTTTAAATTTTTCTGCATGTTTTTCCCAGTTTATTCTATAGATGACGGGTTACGAACTAATTTTAAGTTTAGGTACTTTTAGTGACAGGGAGTTCTTTCCTATATAATATAGGTAGCTAAGCCTGGGTTGTATATTGAAAAGTTTTAAAACTTGAGGAGGTTAGGGTGGTGTCCTTTCTTTCTCTGATCTAACTAGTTTAGTTAAATTTGTAATAAAAAAATAGTTTTATTTAGAAGAACAAAGTTAGGTGTAAAGTAAATGTGCAATATAAATAAATATTGACCTCGTATCGACGCTATTCCATCATGATACTAATATTTCACGAAACACGATCACGCGTAAACTCTCTCACGATGAGCCGAACTCCGAATGTAGCGAACTAGCCCAGGAATTCAATAAGGAAGACACGTAACAGACAACGTGGGTTACTTGCTATGTACCTACCTACTCCATATTTGGTAAACACAGAATGAGCTTTTGCAAATTTAATGTTGTTTAAAACTATCAAATATTTATGTACCTATACTTTTGTATTCACATTTTAACGGTTCGTAGCGGTCCATCAGTTTATCCATCTGTCCGTCTGTCCGTATATTGCAGTTACATATGTTACAGTTTTATACATAGTGTTTTAAATTTAAAGTCACAGAGAGCACCAGCATCTCTATGCTTTTTGCCAAACATCGCAAGTATAGTTCAGTCCAGCGTGACCCTAACGTTAGTTTGAATTTTATTAATAGGTAGGTACATTTGTTCAGGTTTGGTAAAGATGAAACACGTCGCTGATTTCGATCGAACATTTTCGATTTAAGTGCATATATATATATATATATCGTGCTAAATATATAAAAGTTTCATACTTTATTGCATACCACACAAAAAACACATAACAAAGAAGAAATATGCATTAAAAAAGAGATACGTAGTAGATTATGATACGATAGAGTACGATAGTAAGAGTTACTGTGTTACTGTATATACGAGTACTCAGATTGAATATAAATCTAATGTTTATTCACGGACTTTGAGCAGTACCATCTTGTGGAAGACAAAAAACACGGAGAGGACCCTTCAAACTTAATAATTTAATAATATATTTTGGTCTACCATAAATAGAGTTTGATGTTTTATTTAGATTGAATAAAATTTTCAATTTACGAATACAATATTATGTTACGACTTTCATGTAAATTTCGTGATTGTTTCAGAAAACTCCATACGACGAATGGCAAAAGATTCACGATATTCTTTGCCCCCTTTAGATTATTCTGAAAATAGGAAATAGCAAATTGATAAAGTGCAAATCAGCGTTTTATTTTTAGTTGTTACATTTGTTCTGTGTTACCACCTCCAGATAAATTTCTAAGAAATTAATTAAATTTCTAAGAAATCTATTGTTAACTGTAACGCCGGCGTGTCCACGGTCGTGGAGGGATTAAGAATAGTTTAAATTGAACTGTCTCCGCAATTCTCGGCTACAATTCTGAATTTGAATTCCGAGTCAGAAAGAATAGACAAATTCTTTTTAGCAAACAAGAGTTGGCTTGGGAAGATGGCGGTGTTACACTTAGTTTAGAACACATCAGTCCTACATATTATTTCCGGACCGCTTATGTTGGATTGCCGTCACATCGGACACTGGCTTTGAAAGGAATCTGCCGGACAATTTATTTGAAATTAAAATCAAACAATTTATTAAGTTATACAAGTCTTATAATATTAGGAATATAAAGTTTTTCTTAAGGTAGTATATGTACCTACTACAAACTAAATGTAGTTTTACAAACATGTATTGATTGGTTTTATATCACGCTAGTAACTTACCTCGCTTCGCTCGAGTTCATCCCTATGTCTGAATGGTTTAGAATGCATAATAGACAAACGTTCAAAGAAAAAATCTCTTTTTATGCCAAAAACCTTTGAAAGTTTCCTAGCACAAAAAAATTGAATTTTACTTGTTCTCTTGTATAAAGAATAATCCACCAGAGTTTCATCACAATCGGATCAATGATTTAGGAACGCATAGAGGACAAACATACGAAAATTTGTTTTTATTATATCATAAAATCTGGTAAGTAACTACTAGCTGGTATATTAAAAATAAGCGTGCCGTGTAAAAAATCGTTTATCATGCAAATTCTATAAGAGCTTATCGTCATAACTGCTCTTTGTCACCAATTTAATCTTGCTGGAAATTGAAAGATTAAAAATGTAATACTTCATCGTTGTTATCTCGAAATTACAATGAATAAAAAAATACAATATTTCACGATTTACGTCAAATTAAATTTTTAACCGATTTCAAACAAGGAACTATTTCTAAACTCGTTATATTACTAATCAAAAATCACATTAAACTCTTTAATTTATATCTACCTTTAAGAATATTCTATGTTCATGGAGATTTCAATTATACTTGTGCCTAGGTTTTTTTATGGTAGTTTTTGGGTTAGTTAGCGTTTAGGTAATTCCTTATTACTTTTATTCGTATTGGCTGTTTTTGGGCTTCGAAGGTAATTGAAGGAAATCTTTAATGAAAAGCAGAATGAATGTAGAACAACTACAAAAATAGTCTATAGAATCATATATATATATATATATGTATATATATATATATATATATATATATATATGTGTGTGTGTATATATATAAAAAATACTTTCCCTATGTGTTTCGAACTTTTTAAATTTATGATATGATGATATTAAAATTTTGACATCATTTCGTCATCATGTCATCAAAGGTAAATAAAAGTCATCTATGATCATCCCTGCACAACGGTAACTATGTTCGAGCTATGAGATCTCAGCCTTGAACTATAACTCTTGTAATCAGACCATGTCATTACCATATATTTTTAGACACTGAGAAAGCAGAAAGTCTACTTGGCTACGCCCCCTGTATACTTAAAACTTGTAGATTATTTACTGTCAACATATTATGTATCATACAACTTTTTTTTTATTATAACTTTAAAAGCTATATCTCATTTTAAATAAAACTATCTTTTCGGATTTTTTCGCGAATTTATTTTGATTTTTGGTTCCCGACGTTTCGAATGCTTTACAGCAATCATGGTCACGGGAGAGTCTCTCCCGTCAAAAATCCGAAAAGATAGTTTTATTTAAAATGTCAAGTATTCGCGTAAATCTAAGAAAGTATTAAGCTATATCTCATTTTTATAATTCTCGGCTATTGATAAGAAACCCAAAATTCAATTTTTTTAACTAAGTGCTCTAAAAAGCACTGTTAATATACTTTGATTGAGCTAGTCCACTAGACTAATTTAGGTTCGACGGTAATGAAATGCAAATTGATTTGGTTATCCCATCAATTTATGTTTATTGTGATATAAAATATCTATGTACGTATGTATGTATGTTTGTACATGTGTATATTTATATTATAATTGATGTTTGTTGTACCTACACCGCACCTCATTATTATTTTTATATTTTCTCACACTTGAGGGTTTCTGGTAGAGATCTCTTAAAGAGATAAATCATCCTTTGTACACATGGTATCAATGTTTTTAATTTTATGTTTTTTTTCGTGTTAGGTACATAAATAAATAAAATTTACTATATTTTTTTATTTTATTTTATTTGCACACCTGCTATTGCCATACATCAATATTTATGGATTGTTCGATTTATGGGTTAGTTATTTCAAAAGAGAGGACATCAGGAGGAAAATTAGGCATTTATTTGTAATTTTAAAAAAAACTATCATGTTTAATATTTATTAGTTTAAGATCTAATTGTTGTGTTATATATATATATATATATATGTTTTATATATATATATTATATATATATATATATATATATATATATATATATATATATATATATATAATAGAAAATTAATATTTACATGCTATCGCGATACCAGTGACTAAGAGTAAATCATTATCTATACCTATGTACGTAAAATAGCAAGATTTCATTTTGTAATATATTTTAAATAAAAATTAATACTTATATTTTCTCTTTTAAAAGAATATTTAATTTTAAAAAGTTATCTATACAAACTCATTGGAAAAGATTATTAAAATAAAAATATATAATATATCCTATTTGATAATCACTTTTTTTAACTATCAATTTTGGATGTCATATATGATAACTAAAAATAATTGATATAATTGTACATAATAATCATTATATACATACATTATAACACAAAATTTAAATATGTTGATACCAACATGTGTAATCAAATTATTGGAACTGGTGAGCATGTTAAAACATACGGCATTCTTGATAATAATTTATCAATATGAAATATTGATTAGGAAAATTATATAACGCGATAACCAGAAAATGGTCATTAGCAAGTAGCTACAGATTTCAATTTAAGACGACACACTTTCCCAGATTGTGGAATCTCTAATTATCGTGATCCATCGATAAATAAATGACATGAACCCTAGCAATTGCCCAATATTATTGATGGCACCATATTAACACCTAAGCAATAGCCAGCTGTCTTTAGCGGAAGCTGTTTCTTATTTGACATATTATAGTAATCTATACATATAATAAAATTGTAACTAAGCCGAATGTGTACATTAAATATTTTTTGGAAAATCTTATTGAAATAAACATTATTATCGATACAGAGGCCGAATCTATAGTTTTTAGAATTTTTGTCTGTCTGTCTGTATGTTACTGCATCACAGAAAAACCACTGGAGTAATTTTGATGAAATTTGGTATGGTGATATCTGGTTATCCGGGTCAACATATAGGATACTTTTAACCGCGGAAAAATATCTCATTTCTGAGAAAAAATACAAAAACTGCAATGTAAAAGTATACTAATAAAGCCTAAGAATTTGGTTGTTAGTCATCTGAACGCGGGCGGAGCCGCGGACAATACTAGTATCTAATAACGTTTACCTACCTACACAATATAATATAAGAGAAATTATATTCAATTTTTTACTTATTTGCTTTAATATAATTTAAATTATTTTATGGCTTGCTGGGCTAATATAATATACAATATGTAATATGACTAATGGAAAAAACTAGCATGGCAGTCGAGAATACCCTTTAAGTAAATCTTTATTTATATATGTATGTTTTAGGGTTATCAAAATTATTTGAATTAAAAAAAAATGAAAATCAGACAAAAGTACTACCGTAGTATCAACTTTATGATACCCTTATAATATTTTTTGTCAATATTTTAAAAGATCCAATAAAATAAAACATGAACAACTACGTTAATAGTTTCACAGTCATTAAAAAATGTTTAGCAGTGATTGTTTTCTTCACTAATTTTTAAAATTCCACTAATTTATGGAGAATATATCCTAAAAAAATTATTTATCAAGGGCCTTTGCTTCATTTGTAAGATGTATTCGTGTAAAATGTATCGATATAGTATCGATACTGTAATTTAAATATTTTTTTTTATATATTTACAGACATTAGCTGTAGCTTGCCTCACACTCCATCATTATAGCTACGATTTGAGTGATGTCCCTGCGCTGATACTATATTCTGGCACATATATGGGGTACGTTATCGTGCTCTCAGGAGAGATAGTAGGTTAGACGTTTATGAATTATGAATATCCTAAAAGACTCTCGTTAAGTCTGACCTAATATTTTAGGTGATATATTAAAAGATATATTTTGTTAGTTTAGATGTCAAAGGATTGCTAGCTCGATGCATAAATCTCGGTGAAACCGCAATTTAGCCCTCTTCTTTATTTCATGGAAGACATTCAAGTCCAGGAATATTTAATATGTCAGACATTCTTTATTCTTCAATTATTTTTGCATTGACATTGGTAGAAAAACCCGTATATTTTTTGCTTAGTTATATGAGAATTCCAAATATATCAAGTAATCTAATCATTTATAATATAGGTGCTTAATGCCCGATTTCACCAACATCCCTGGCTTAAAAGTCCCCTAAACTAGCCCCTAAATTAAATTTCGCTTTACCATCGTCAGAGCCCGTATTTCTAGTACCTATATTTAGGTGGTATTTTAACATTTAGGTGACCCCTAACTGTCGGTAAAACAGAAACTGTCCCCTAACAACCCCCTAACTTAAACTTAGGTGACGTTGGTGAAATCGGCCATAAGAGTTACATTTATACTCAAAATTAAAATTTATATTACATATAACATTAAATGCTAATTAAATGTGATCATATGTAACCATAACGAAAAATCTAGAAAGTACATGGTACATAAACACACCAAAGTTTTATCGCAACCGGATGGATGTTTTAGGAAGGCACACATTGCAAACAGACAGATATACGTTAATTTTATTGATAATTATTTCACTAGTATGATTTCGGAATACCATTGTTTTAGGGGAAATGATTTTCGCCCCGTTAGATCTTGTCCAAGACATGTATTTTGGAATGCTGGGGATTATCTTATTCTCAGTTAGCGGTGGCATAGTACTGTCTACAAGAGCATATTCCTATAACTACCCCCTTACAGGAGATTCTACAACAGCATTGATAGTCGGTTACTTAGCTATACTAAACGCTGTGGTAATGCTTTTTGATTTAAGTCTTGCATATTTGGACAGCGAACAGTTTGATGACGAAGCTAGTGTGTAAGGTGATTTTTTTTTATTTCAAAAAGATAATGTATAAATGTGGCTTTTGATTGTTATTAAAAATACAGGGAATTATTTACATCTGCAAATTCATTGTAGTAATTGTAAGTTTTTCGAATCATTTAACTAATAAAGGCAAAATGTAAATTGCCAAACCTTTATTGTTTAATATTCACAAGGTTAATTATAAAAATGTATTTATTTTATTATCATATAAAATTTTATATAATAATCTATTAACATTGAGAAAACTGGTTAAAGTCATCCTAAAGAAAGTATTCTCATTATCAAGGTGAGGCGGTTTCAGCGGCGGCGGACGCTTATATCGACGCTTGGTGGTCTGCGGCTGGCTCGGTTTTATTTGGGGCTTGTGGAGCTTTGACTTTGAATAACTGGAAATATGTGCCTGATTGTGCTCGTCACAGACAAGCGCGCACGACAGCGGTATGCGCCTTCGCTGCTGCTGCACTGTTCCTCTTAGATGCCTTAATAGCTCTTTGTTCCGCACACAAAGATGCAGATAGTATACGATCAAAGTCAAGTAAACGATGTAGCCCTTAAATTTTGTACAATTATATGTTTTTTTTTATTATTTTTATTATACAAATCTTTATAACAATGTTTTAATTTTTTATCATATTTTTTTAGTTAAAGTATAATTGTAATCTCTAAGTCGTTACATTTTTGACCGACGACAAAAAAGTGGAGGTACTCATACTTCAGCTGTATTTATTTGTTGTACTTATGTCACGTGATGCATTTTTAATTTCATCTCCAAATGTCAACCGATTTTCATAGTGCGTTCTTTCTTTTCTTTCTTTCTTAGAATAGTTTATACCTCATTGAGAAAGTCATGGCTATTTTATTCATTTTTTTAAAACATTGTAAATATTCCCGTTTCTTAAAAACGATCACGAAAAATAATTTATTCATTTATTATTAATATATATACTATTATTTATAAATAAAAATGAATGTATTATTTCTAGAAATATAAATAACAAATACGGTGAACGATGGTCAATCTAAGTAGATAGACGTAGAGGAAGCTTATTTGACCATGATTAAAACATCAGTTGGGTGTTGTGTTCTTAGAATATCAATTCGTTAACCACAATCTCTGTCCACAAGGACTAAAGCTGAATATTCTTGTGATTCATACGAATTTTATTTAATAGAAATATTGAAAGGTAATACGCAAATTATATATAACTAGCAAAACCCGCGGCTTCGCTCGCGCTAAACCTACACAAAAACTCTAAAAAAGTAGGTTTCATACAAACTTCCATCCCCTATTTTACTTCCTTATGGGATGAATTTCGAAAAATGCTAAAACTCGTATTTATTTAATTGTATTGAAGAGCATTAATACCAAGTTTCAAGTAATTCGGTTCATAAATTATTTTTTGCATTTATTATAATTTATAACGTGTTTCCCGTGGAAATGAGATAATCTCCCGCGGTAAAAAGTAGCCTATGTCACTCTCCAGCCCTTCAACTATCTCCACACAAAAATCACACCAATCCGTCATTTCCGTTTTATCAACCGACTTCAAAAAGGAGGAGGTTCTCAATTCGACTGTATTTTTTTTATGTTTTTTTATAAATATACGCAAACTAACAATTGATAAATATTATAAAATTCATTCTGCATTTGAATAAAAAAATATATATGTGATTTTAAGAATTTTTAACCGTGATAAACAATTCATAAAAAGTAAAAGCGCCATCTGTGAATACACACTACAGACCCACCATCGGATTGCTGATATTTCAATAATCAGTACTTTTCTCTTCACTTAGAATATTTTTTAAAACAATAATATACGCTTTTAGGATCTATTTCTTTATGTTTTGTTAATTTAACACAACTTTAATAAAAAATCGATACAAGTAACGTCATCTATTGACATTTATTTGAACTAATTTTTCTTTGCCTACGATGAAATTCCATGGTTTGACCATTATACTTACAGCGACATCTATGAAACAAATATGACACTACAGAGAGAGTACTGTGCAACGATACATATAAATTCGTCATCTTACCGCTAGATAGAGCCAAATTTAGAAATTCCCCAATTTGATTTTACTATTGCTGTTAAACAAATAAACACGTAGTAAAACAAATCACGTGCGTATTGTGTCTTTTATACCTTTATACGTTACAAAAGAGTAAAGATACATTTTCAATTAGTTGTAACTCTGTAGAGCCTTTAGACCTCTTTATTTATGAGAAAAAATTTATCTAAAATATTTAACTCAGATTCATTATAGGCACGACAATTATGTATCATGTTTCATGTTGAAAATGTTTTTTACATTTCTAAAATACATATAACGAAATCGCTTACATATCTATAACAAAAATAATTTAAAGTAATCTACATCATTTTATATTATAATAATCTTAATTGTACATACAAAATAGTATAATAATATACAAAATAGTATAAAGTGTTGTAGCATCTGTGATATTACTTAGTCATTATATTTATATGCAGCAAATCATTGCTTTTATTGAATTAAATGTTATTTATATGAAACTAGCCGAACCTGCGGCTTCGCTCGCGCTATAACTATAAAAAATCTCTAGAAAGGTAGTTTCACACAAACTTTAATCCCCTATTTTATGCCCCTATTTTAGCATGAATTTCAAAACATGTTAAAACACGTATTTATTTAATTTTATTGAAGAGCATTAATACTAAGTTTCAAGTACCTAATTCTGATGATAAATATTGTTTTGGGTTGTATTATAACGTGTTTCCCGTGGGTATTAGATAATCTATCGTAGTAAAAAGTAACCTATGTCACTCTCCAGCCCTCCAACTATTTCCACACAAAAAATTATGTCACTCCGTTTCGACGTGAAAAAGGACAAACTCACAAACAAAAAACACACTTTCACATTTATAATATTAGAATGGATATCTTTTAAAAAGAAGCAAATACATAGATGATATAGACAAACTTCAAGATATCTTTGTAAGCACTTCGTTTTAAAATTTCTAAGTACTACGATAATAGAGTGTTAATTAAGAATAACGTCTTATTTCATTTGTGTGTTCTATACATTTGAAGTAGAGAACTAAGGACGAATCATTTAGTAGTATTACGTAACATTACAGCATAATTTAAGCGATTAAATTATGATAAATAGGTATTATATTTTCCTCATTTACAGTAGATTATCTGTGCATATGTAAAAATATGTTGTTGATGGAATATAATACACATATAAGCATATTTTGTTAGTGACTAATTAATTGTAAATTCTTAAAGTGTTACCGCATTTAATTATAATTAAAATTTAAATAATAAATGTCCATACAAATATTATAAAGAGGTAAAGTTTGTGAATTGTGAGTTTGTGAGTTTATGACCTTGTAGGGGGTAATTTCTGGATCTACTGAACCGATTTAGATGAAATTTGGTAAGAAGATAGTTTGAGACCCGGGGAAGGACATAGGATAGTTTTGATCCCGGAAATCATCCCTTAAGGGGAAAGTTTGTATGGGGAATCAATCTACGGACGAACCCGAGCGAAACGAGGGTGAGTCGCTAGTATTTAAATAAAATGCTACGAAACAACAGATGTCCTATAGTCAGCATTTGCATTGCACAATATGAGGAACATGTTTGATTTACCACATTTTTATAAGTAACTTTAACGATTAAACTTACAACTTAGTGTAGTATTTATATAACGCTAAATTGAACTGATCATATTTATTCATATTAATCGATGCCGACTGATTTAAAAACTTTATATTAAACATTGCATGAGCACGGAATAAACAAGCCAAATACTATGCTTCGGGCCTCATGACATTAAGAAGGTTTTAATTATTTTATAATCCAGTATCAAAATTATTTATAGTTGGTTCTACAAAATTGCTTTTTAACATTTTTATTTTATTTATTCGTCTCTCAGGGCAGGATTTTCTTTTAATTTTTTTTTTCAGGCCGCCCTTGATGAACTTATTAAAAAATAACTACGAAAATTTATCTACAAAGATATGTTTACGAAAAAAACATATATCCGTATTGAGTACCTCTTCCTTTAGTTATATCAAGTTTCTCTATTGCTTTTGTATTGCATGAGTCCTTGTGGCTAAGTATTGTGGCTAGATTGACGACCGATATACGTATGTTAGTGGGTCACTACTCACTTTCGCTATGACACCGCTATAGAATGAAATACTAATTACGTTTTATAACTACTTCAAAATCACTTTAAATAAAATTACTTCACTATTGAAAGTCACATTTTCTCAAAATTTATATGTAACCACTGTTAGGGGTAATTTTACTTATTACTAGTCATGGCTCGCTGCTTCCCTCGCGGTAGGCAAGATGATTATTAAAGGTAGGCCATGTTTGTCCTCAAGATGCAATGTAAATACATCCTTACCCATCGAAACTTCAGCAGTGTGAACGTGCGAATAATATTTGACTTCTAGAGCCTAAGACTTCTAGATCTAAAATCTAAATGATATCCCAGCGGATTACGATAAATCAATCACTTTGTAAGTTAATACATTAATAAAAGTTACGTAGTTATTTCTTCTTCCTGACTTCTGAATCCTGCTTTTTAAGTAATATTAAGTATCAGCTACCAGCTACTCGTTATGTATTTTAAATTTTAAAAAGGAGAATATTAAAGTGCGTACAAGTTTTGTCGGAGGTCAGTCTGATTTGTCAAGGAGAAATTCGTTGCTAAACACATAATACACGTAATTATATTATATGCATTCCACAGAGTCTATTAAAAGGAAGTTATAGAGTGTTTTTTGTTCATTTGTGCATCCATCTACATTTTATACATCAATACTATAATTTATATTATAAATTATAACTCACGTTTCTTTTTTATTTTAAATTACTTATAATTTTATTTAATATGTCTTTTTATTATTTTTATTAACTTTATAAAAGTGAAATATAAAGATAATTGTAAATATTGTTTTACATGTAACATTAAGAAACTACTCAGCTTGATCATACTTAGCATCGGTTAACGTCAATTACATAATTAAAATTGTCGTAATAATTGTAAGTGCTGATAACATCTTGATGTATTTCTTATTTTGGATATACTATATACCATAAAGTGAGTTTTTTTGGCAGGTTTATGATGTCATGGTTGAATATAGGGGTAACTTGTTCCCGTAGGGTGACCAGCTTATATTTATGAAAAAATATTTCTACTAAGCTCAAGGTCATTCTTATTTTAGATTATACAGATTATTTTATAGCTTTAATTTAATTAAATAATTTTTAAACTAGTGAAGTTGCTACACTGGATCATAATTGATAAGTAATATCTGCAAATATATGTTTTTCATATTACATCGTTCGTATATAGGATATTTAATAAATGATGCTAAAATCAAAGAAACTTTTTCTATTTTCTATGTATTTCGATACTATTTCGTTTGATGGTAGGTAAAATTTTTGAATATAATGATATTATATCTACCTAAATGCTTATTTTATTTGGACTCTACTTAAACCGTCCCGAATAAGCTATACATGAGTGACTGATGTCAAGTGAATAATATTCTAACAAAAAATATGTGATAATTGCAATCATAGAGCGGCATTGTTAGTAAATATGACCTAACCACGATTACTCAATTACTTCCAATTTTGTCCTGTATTAAAAATTACAATGGCCCCACTAGCTATGATGTCATCGCCATTCAGCGCCCCGCATCTTGCCGGGTGTGGGACGCTGGTATCGTATACCGTACCGTAGTATAGCACTCTAGCAGTATACCGTGTACGCATCGAGCGTCTCTACGTCGCCAGTGTAAACAATTTGTGCACAATTGTGACTTTAAAATGGCTGTTAGCCGACTTTCAATCATCAAATTTGTGGAACTTGTAAGTTTTTATATGATAATTCCTATTTTATAAACAAATTTACGGTTATTTTAGTATTAAAGAAGCAACGTAGAAAAAACGGGTGCGGCGTCGTTGCCTCTATTTGTTGTACCTTCAGTTACATGTTTAGATGTTTATGTTTATAGGTACTTCATGATTTCCAATATTCGTAGTAAAATATATATGTGTTTTATTAATAAAGTCTTTAAATCAATAACTTATTAATAAGGGAAGTATCCAGTAAATGTTGTTTACTTTATATTCAATATCTATTTAGTTATGAATCATTCGCTGATGTAGTTTTTTGTAATATGTATTACTCATAAAATTGGCATATAATTACGTTTTTTATAAATACATAGCATTACAGATAAATCAATGATAAACGTTTAAAAGAATTAATTGCGTGCAATTGTTGTGGTCGTCCATTTTACTAGACTAGGTTTAAACATGAGTTTCAATATAAATGAAGCAATCCTATAAACAACAGGTTTTACAGTACATCAATTTTTACGAAATAGTATCATTTTCGTACGAATACTATAAACATGAACCATATGTAAATATGTGTTGCATTATTTTTTTATGAGTTATCTATTTGTTATGGTATCAAATAATAAAAAATATAACCTAACATTTAATACTTAAAATAAAGTATTCTTTAAGTCTAAAACTTATAGATAAGAGGTCATTACTAATAAGATTAATACTATTTTATTGGTTTTCACAAGCGAGTAGCGAGTAGCGACTCATTCTTATCCACGATGGCATCATCGACGCTATTTGTAGAGTAAACACGACAGCGGACAGAGTCATAAAAGTTGAAAATGTTCGTATTTTTTACGTTTTCCTGTAAAATTTAGTAGGCACTTACATATATTTTAATCAGTTTTTCAGATTAAAGAATTAATTAATTTAACTAATGAATTGTAAATAATAATAATAATTATATTACTTTTTTTAATTTACCACTCTTATGTATCAATGTAATGGTTACTCATAAATATGTTACTAATACCATTAAAAATCATGTATAAAATTATATTTTCAATAAAAATATTCAATAAATTTTAAAAATTATGAAAAATGTTTGACGAATTCATACATGGTCAATATTGTAAATATATTTTTAAGTTATATTTCTTTTGGCACGTTTGGAAAAAATTATGAGAGTAAAATTTTTACGATGCGCGACAGCCAAAACACTACATGATGAAGTTAGCTGAAAGCAACATGATGAAGTTAGCTGCATTCCTTTTACAAACACCGAGTTGTGACATACGAGATGAAATCTTTAGCTATTTTTGTTCTGTTACGCCAAAGAAATATAACTTCTTACGTGCGGTACATAAGTACACACACACGTAATTTTTTAATAATTTATGTGGCAATTAACTAGTGCTTATAGTTATATCATAACGCAGTCTACTCAAATGGGTGTGACATCAATGCGGTACTTTAATTTCAAATCGCGCAACTTATGTTCTCATAAAAAGTAATAAACATTACCCAACACTCATATGAAAGTTTATTAAATATTGAGATTTAATTAAGGCAACATATTTTTTCAAAAGTAGAGCAAAATGTACGAATTTTATCATATGAATATAAATTATCTTACAATCTAAATGTTGACGAATTTATATATTTTTTTAAATTAATTAAAACTTTTTGCGGAAAATGGTGGTTAATAATGATTTTGCAGCCAAATCTTAAGGCTTTTCTTTAAGATTTGGCTCTGGTTAAAGCTATTTGACATACACAGTACATATTTAGGTATGTATTCAGCCCTTTTAAATATTCAGGTATTAATAAAAAAATATTCCTAAGGGACGATGGAAAGTCATTATATCGAGAAAGCAACCGGGCAAAACTCAGGACAGTTCCTTAACCAGATTAAAAATACTCTCCTAGGGTCAAATAACAAATTATTAATTACTTTTTTACGTGGAACGACTTTTGGGACTTTTCTTGTAATAGTTTAAAATAGAGATTTTAGTTTATGTTATCGCATATTACTGGGCAAATGCTGATCGAATTTCAATGAAACTTTCTTATTGTGTAGGTAATAGCCTAACAGATAAATTGAAATTTCCATCGATTAGATAGATTCAAGGATAACTCAAATTTATTTTACGATAAGTGCCTAAGAGTTGCTTTTGTATTACATCAGGTCATTGTTCTACGTTCTAGATTTTACCCAACTTCCTAAAGCCGTTTCCCAGTGATAGAGTAACAAACAAACATACATCACCGTTCACTCATATAAATTTTTACATTTATGACAGTGGTCCGATTAGGGTTAATGAATATAAATATTAAAGTTCTAAATGTCAGTCATTATGGCCATAACTTATTTAGTTCAATTGATATTTAATTTTCCTGAACTCAAGAAAAATGTTGTACTTTAGTACATATTTTATTGCAGACCTAAAACGTGTAGTATAAATACTTAAAAAATATGGACTATATTAAAATTTAAAATGTATAATGAATAATGTTATATACACCTTATAATTATCTTACCTCATTTATAAGTTATAACCTCGACCTTGTTATGAATATGTAAGTAAAATTAGTATGCTTAAGACAAATCTTACTATTATTGTAAATGTAAAAGTTTAGATGGATGTTTGTATGTTTGTTACTTAATTACGCTAGAATGGCAGAACGGATCTAGATGAAAAGCACAGTGACTTTTTATCCCGGAAAAAGCTACGGTTTCCGTGGGATATTTTTTTTTGTTTTTGTTTTTCCAAAGACGAATCCGAGCGAAGCGAGGGTGAGCCGCTAGTAGTCTATATCAAATCTAATATATTTTTTTATACATACACTTCTTTCATCCACTCATACTATCTATGAATCATTACGACTCATACATAGCATTAAAATTGTTACTAATAAATTATTTGTAATTATTTTGTGTCATGCATTTTTTATATAGTGTTATATTGTGATTCACATGTGCCTTGTAGCGATCAGCATTAAAAGTCTAAATACCTATTTACGAATACGTAAATACATACATTATAAAGATTGTGATTTCGCCAACTTTGGTTATCTAACATCTTATTGCTTTAGCCCACAATTTCTTCAGTTTTTATTAAATTATAAATAAAATAGAATAAAAATATTCACGCTACAGAGCTTTACAATATACTGAGGGCTATAGTGATCGCGACATCTGGCGGGAGAGAAAGGCAAAATTCAACCCCATTACCGAATTCGTACCGTGTAAAAATCACATCCACTACCCATGGCATAAAAGGCACTATAATAATAATCAGACACGTGAGGCGTTTTTCGTTATTATTACTCTATAATACAGATAAATAAAATTGAAGTAACTGTCTGTAATATCAAAATAACAGCTTTTACTAAATGTATATGGAATTTTAAACGGTATTTATAAGAAAAACACAATTTTTAAATTTTTGTCTGTCTGTCTGTTTGTTCCGGTTAATCTCCTAAACGGCTGGACCGATTTTGACAGGACTTCCACTGGTAGATAGCTGATGGTATGAGGAGTAACTTACGCTAAGAGAATTAAGAATAAGAATTAGGGTTTCGCTAAAAAACTAAAACGTACCTAGGGCCGAACCCAAGCGAAGCGAGGTTGAGTCAATCGCATGCATTGTATATACAAAGTTCCAAAAGCCGGGCCAAGTTTAGTTATTGATTCTTTCTGTATAGTAAGTCTCAGTAACAGCCCGGAGTTGGGAAGTGGGCGGTGTTTGACCCCCGTGCCTCGGAGAGCATGTAAAGCCGTCGTTCCTGCGCCTTAACTCTCACCGGTCGTGTCGAGCAGTCGTCCCACCGGAGTATGAGAGTGATAGGAATAGAGAGTGCACTTGTGTCTGCGCGTACACTTGAGCACTATAATATCTCCTGCGCAGTTGGCTAGTCTAAATGAGATTGGCCGCCGTGGCCGGAATCGGTCAGGAGAACATAATATACAAAATGTAGTCATAAACTAATAAATGGAGAAAATCATGTTTCATTGCAGAAAGATTAGTAGTATAGTTTTTTATTACGTTCAAAGTAATGCTATCAATACGGCAAGGTCTATTACCACGATAACCTCGTGTAATCGCGATCTGCATTTTAAACTTAAACGTACCTATAATGACATCATCTACCGGAGGACCTTCGCTCTAATACTTATGTTACGTCAACACACCTACATCAATAAATATAGCAAAATTATATCACCGTTTAAATATTTATTTATTGTATGACTGTAATATTTATCGTACCTTTATTTTTTTGGAAATGTCAAAAAAAAACGCTTGAGCCGTTCGTAGTATTATACTTATCAGCGGAAATTAAAAAGACATGTATTGTACAAATAATACGCAGCTTATTAAATAATAAAAAAATGGTTATTTTATTACTGAATGCAATTATTAAATGATTAATATATTGAGACAAAAAAAAACAATTATTTGTTATTTTTGAACCGAGTTCCAAAAAGGAGGTTCTAATTCGTCGGAATCTTTGTTTTTTTTTTAATCAAAATAAGTTTTTAAAGTATATTCTTAAAAATAACAACTATAAAATTTATAGTTTACATAAAATTTATAGTAACATTTAATGTCACTCGATGAAAAAGTCTGCGTTTCAATGTTATTAAGTCTAATGATAAAGTATTAGCTATTATTAAAATCATAATTAAAATTTCAAAAAATCCTCCATTTATGTTCAATAGAAAAAGAATAAGAAATAAATTAATCAAACTCTGTAAGCCTATATTTTACTCTTAACATAAATAATAAATTATTGTCTCTATAAAAAATAAGCTTTTATTTATATCATTATTGACCAAAGACTATCATGGCACCAACAAATAAACAATGTAGCTAACAGGATGAGGAAGCTTTCGTGGATGTTTAGAACTTTGAGACACGTAACTTCTCCTGAACTTTTAATGAAAATATACACTGCCTTAGCTCAACCAATCCTAACTTACGGTATACCTATCTGGGGAAACGGATCAAAAACTAAATTCAAGGAAGTAGAAAGAGCTCAAAGATGTCTACTTAAAGTCATGTTCTTTAAGCCACGTAGATTTTCGACGCAATCACTTTACTCCATTACAGGCTCACTAACTGTAAGGCAATTATTCATCCTTCATATGGTACTGAGACTACACAAGCAAATAAATTTTTACCCTAACACTCTTAGCTCTAGAAGGAAATATGTAGTTGCAATTAGTAATCCCACAAAAACTATTTTTGCGTCGAGACAATTTGAAAGCCTGTCGGCACTTATTTATAATAAAATTAATAAAACCTTAAATATCTACCCGTTACAATATCACGAATGTAAAAAGAAAGTCACAAAATTCCTCTTGACCCTTGATTATGATAAAACAGAAGAACTTCTAAAAAATCCCTTTTGACGATTTAGACCTTAATATGCAAAGTGTAAACACACTAACACTAACTCAACTACGCAACACATACATACACTCACATACGTACACACACACACACACACATACACACACACACATACACACACACACACACACACACACACACACACACACACACACACACACACACACACACACACACACAAAGACACACACATACACCACACACAAAACGACACGCACAGAGATACATACAAAATTTCACACACTCTCACTCATACACACGCCACAAATAAATCACACTTTTATAATTACTAAAATATCAGAATATATATTTTTCTTTATAAGTTTGTAACATACTTTTTCTCAATTAGTTAACTGTATCGCTAAATTATTTCATGTCAACTAATTAAGCTAAAACTTACTATTTATGGAAGAGCGAAATCCTCTGTCACAGGTATTGTTACTTAAAAGAGGGTTTCAACCTTGTATACTATCATGTACTTGTTGTTAAATGAAATAAAGTTATTATTATTATTATTATATTGTTACTAGCGACTCACCCTCGCTTCGCTGCGAATTCGTCCCTATACAAAAACAAATCTATTCCACGGGAACCGTACATTTTTCCGGTAGAAAAGTAACTAAGTATATGCTATTCCAGACTATAATCTATCTCTGTGCAAATTTCATCCAGATCCGTTTAGCCGTTGTGGCGTAAAAGAGTAACAAACATCCATCCACCCTCACAAGCATTCACATTTATAATATTAGTACTTAGTATGAATGTTGAGACGTTCTTGTAATTACGTTCCAGACTGTCATTAAATCTTAGGTATATGAATTTTTTATTATATATTGTCTTCAAAACAGAGGTGCCTGTAAAATTTCAGCTCGAAAAACATTTTAAAGTTTGAACGGGAAAGATAAACGTGCAAACAAATCACGTTAAATTATTATTAGATAAATTATATAAATTACTCATAAACTTTCATTATTATTTTCAGGCCCTAACTTGTTCGTGTGTGGCGCTCCACTATCACAGCTATAATGGGGACGCTGACATCGGCATGCTAGTCACGGGCACCTTTATTGGATACCTCATTATATTTGCGGGAGCCGCTGCAGGTGAGAGAACTTTATTAAATAGTTTCGATATTTATGCTAATATATTGTTCCTGATATACGAGTATGAGAGTGTTTATCTATTCTAATATTATAACGAGGAAAAATTTCTTTTTTTGTTTGTATCGAATAGGCTCCGAAACTACTAAACCGATTAGATGAAATTTGTAAGAACATAGTTTGAGACCCTGGAAAGGACATAGGATAGTGTTTATCCCGGAAATCATCTCAAAGTTAATATGGGAAGCAAACTAGGGACGAACTCGAGCGAAGCGAGGATGAGTCGCTAGTATAGGAATAATATGGACGTGCCTGTCTGTAAAAACACTCATCATACAAAGCGAACCATAAACGTCGACGTGATTAGTATTGGCATAATCAGACTATTGTTACAAATGTGAAAGTTAGTATGTGCGTATTTATGTTACATAAATATACATACAAACGTGACTAATGCGAAATTACTCCTTCACCCTGAAACAGCTGAATGTATTTGGATTTTAGTGCCTACACAGATAGACTTGTATGACCTAGAATAGTATAGGCTACTGATGGGCATCTAGCGATGCATCTCCCTAGAATTCTTATAAATAAAAATGTATGGCTAAATGTGTTGCTAAGCTCAAAATTCGAGAACGGCTGGACCAATTCGGCAATTTTTTTTTAAATACGTTGAAGTCCGAGGAAGGTTGTTTTGAAGAGGAAAATTGGAAAAAAAGGTTTACGGAAAAACCTAAAAATCGCCTTTTACTTTTTCCTTACTACTACTTTATAATTATAAATGCAACATAAAAATTAATATAAACTACTTGAATACAGTTGTAGATTTGACACTTTCTCTTTCTACGATATGTGCTTTGTTTGTCTGTCCTTCTTACACGTCGAAATAGTTACGGATTGACGTGATTTTTTCTGTGGAGATAGTTTGAGGGCTGGAGCATTCGCATGATATAGGATACTTTTTACCACTATAGACTGTACACTGTAGACTATCTCATTCCTACGGGAAAACACGTTATAATACAACTCACAACAACTCATTATACTTATGTATGTATTTAATATAAATAGATAGCTATTCCATATTTTAATGGTTAAAACGTACCTCGGGACGAAACCGAGCGAAGCGAGGGTGAGTCGCTAGTTCTCTATTAAAATGAAAATACTAAGCAACTTAGATTTATAATAAAAGGTTTAGACTAATTTATTATTATCAAATTTCCAGGCTACGTGATGCAAACACCCTCACACAAGCGCATCGATATATTCTACTCCCTTGTAGGTGTCGCTCTCTTCGTTGCAAGTGGCGCCCTCTTGATCGACAGGTATAACAGACTAATATATATATATAAAAAATTCGTTGCTTTTAATCAAAAATTAAAGATTTCATAAGCCCCTTATTATAAAGGTACCAATTTTTTCGATATTAATTCCGTGATACCTTTTTAATTTTTCTTTATAATATTTCTTTTTTATTTAAATCCGTGTAGTGCTTTTCTCCGTTATAATAAATTTTTTATCATTTTCAGATTCCAGCACTATGGAAAAAGTGAATTGAAAGACAAGAATCTGGCGAAAGCTTCGCTGGCGATCATCAACGGAGGGGTATTGTTGGTTGACGCGGTGTTAACCCAACGCGGCGGATAAGATTATTAGATATAGAGAGAAGTAATGCACGACATATAACATATACTTTTGAGCTAAATTACCTTTAACTGATTAGTTGTAAACCAGTTTTAAATCAAAGTCAGACGCATATAATATAAAAATTAAAATAAGCAATGACAAAATCTCTTTTTTAAAAATTCACATTTTTGAAATAAACTTTTATGATATATTTAAGAATCTCTACATAACTATTTAATTATATTATAATCAGTCCATTTAGGACCAGTAGGAAAATAAGTAAATATCAAAGGCTTTTAAATAAAATATTACACTACTATCTTATTATACTGAAACTGTGTTTAAAACGTAGTAGCCTTTAAAACGTTACACTATGTCTCACTATGTTTCTAAAGCTATACGATATAAAATACCACGTTAAAATGCACTTGTCAAAGATTATCTAATGTTCTGCAAGCAAAAGAAATATTAAAAAAAAACACTAAATTTTACAATCATTGGTATTTGGCAACGCATCTGCTTATATTTGTATATACATATTTTGTTTAATATAAAATAATTTCATCCGTTGTGCAGATGGGTGGATGACATTCCTTCGGACCTTTTACAAGTAGATACTATTCGCAATGTGTGTTCATAGAAATTTTTTGTACTCGTATATACATATTGTATAGTTATAGTATAATAAGTATAATAAAAATAAATATTTTCAGGATAATATGCTATTCATATATAATACTTTGTAGTTATTTATCATATTACAAATATTGTTACCTCAGCTTCGTAGTATCGAACGTATCTAAGCAGAAAATAAGCTTTGAGTGTTTAGAAATAAGTATATATAACAGACGAACAACCGATTTTGAAGATTTTTTTGTGCCTTGTATTCATACCATGACGATCACTCAACGCTTCATGTTATTGTACCAAATATACCAATATATTTCTCATTACCCATAATGAAAGTTCTTCCACATATAGGTAGTTTAAGAATTTATTTATCTTGTGTATGTTTATATACAGACCGATTTATGTTGTTTTGTTATTAATTTATTATACTAAAAATAAACAAGACTTATCCAATAAAAAAACAAATAATATATTATTTTTCTTTTATTTTCACAAGCCTTTGAATTTTGCATAACAGGTATTATATTGGAAAACATGCTAAAAACTTTATCACGCACAGAGATTCTACCGATAGTTAAAATAATATATATAATATTAACATCACTGCATTTTTGTAAGAAACCACCTATTTTGACTGTTCTAATAAAACTAATTTAGTTTTAAAATTGTGTTTTGATTGTTATCTAAAAGTATTTTTGAATTCCCCATTTAAAATTTGGTTCTTTTTCGTTCGAATATTTATATACCTCTGTTTTTTAAATATTAGTACAAAGCTATTAAAAATATTTGAAACAATAATATTAAACAGCCAATTTAATTTTGAACCCTTTGGATACTTGACTACAAGATTGTCTAATAAATCACATGAAATTTCTTCTCTCTTATTATCAGCTATATAGAAGCTCTATTAATAGCAGAGACAAATGGCCACTACATATGGAAACAGACTTTTGGGGTGTGGCTAAGAACAAAGTTCTGGGTTCAAGACCCAGGTAGACCCAAGTTTAGTTATAGAGTTTTTTGTTAGGAAATTCTCAGTAACAGCCAGGAGTTAGAAGTACAAACAGTGTTTCTCCTCCTTGCTCTGTGAAGAACGTAAAGTCATCAATCTTGATCATAGCCTGATCTCTCACTAGCTATATGTAATTATTAACGTGCGATCGGAGTGTGAGAGTAAAAGAAATAGAGAGCGCACTTGTGTTTGGGTACATACTTGTGCATTATAAAATATCTTGCGCAAATGACCAATCTCAATGAGATTGGCCGCCATGGCCTAAATCGGTCAAGGGGACATTAACACGTCCAGGTAAATTTCTAAGAAATTAACCAAATTTCTAAGAAATCTTTTGCTAACTGTAACACCGCCGTGTCCATGGTCGTGGAGGGATTATTAGTGGATAATAATAGATATCAGGGGGTCGTGGAATGCTTTGAAAACATTAGATGGCCGTCTCTAAAGAAAGTCTGAACGGTGTGACATCACTACGGTAACGTGGATAATGTGAAGTAGTAGGATATAGTATGAATCATGCTCTGTTATCGCATTTCTGACCAGTATCTTTCTTCATAATCTCATTCATTCGTATCGCGATATACAGCCGGCTACGTGAGGAACGTTTTACCTTGTTGGTGAAAATAATTGTGTTATTCTGGTCAAAATGCAATTGAAGTGGCTTTTAATCCTGAAAGTCGTGGAGCTTGTAAGTTTTAGTTTCTTTATATATACCCAAATTAATGTATATTTTGTTATTAATAATATTATATGTAAAACCTGTCTTGATATTGGAAGGGAAAAAACGAATTTGGTGTTGTTGACTGTGGTATAATTCATGTTAATATATTTTAATTTGTAAATCGCTTTTACTTTACTTAGACTCTTATGTCATTACTTGCATCCATATAAATAAGGACATAAACAAAGGTCCTCCATAAGCAAATCCTGCAGTGTGGAAACAAGTGTAATGTGCAAGTATAAAAAGTAATCTTTCGGTTCATAAACCACCTCTATATAAAATGTCACGTCGATCCATTTCTCCGTTGTAAAAAAGAACATACCAACAAATGTGCGATTGTATTATCAAAAACATTAATTTGGCAATCGATGTATAGTATAGTGAATGTAAATCCTTCATTCGCGGTTACACAGACAACTTTTAAAACGATTGTCATTAATATATTCCTATTTCGAATAATTTTAAATAACTATTTAACTAATAAAATATACAATTATCTATCAAGAATACAGATACAATCTAAAATCAATCCTAAACATTTTCCTTATCTATTTTGATAATAGCTTCGCTGTTGATATGTATTGGCATTTAAAATGACTGTAGTATGTTATGACAAAACTCTTTGTAACTTGATCATATTTTGATGATAGTGATAATATTGGTGGTTTCAATACCGATTAGATATTGTTAGGCAGTTTATCCATTAGCTCTACCTTTGCTGTGGTGATTGGTGACATCTTGCTTTCTTTGGTTCTCTATTGATTATACCATGTTACAGGATACCAGGTTTCCCCAGAGGGAGAGACCTGGTGTCCTGTACCACGGGTTTTTATCTATCACAGGCACCAGCGATCCACAACCAAATTTTGTAACAGCTTATGCTAAACTAAGATCTCTAATATTGATGTATATACTAATTTGTTTGTGGTGAGAAATAAACAGTTATTATTATTGTATTTGTACTCCAGTCATGGGTGTTTATATTTATAACATGTATGTATTTAAAGTTATATATGTGTAGTGTATCAACTATCTGGTATCCATAACACAATCCTCGTAGCTTACCATGGAACTAGATGGTACTGTGTGTTAATGTCCCAAAACATAAAACATAAACCATTCAGAGTACAACTTGCAATCGTTGCTATGCAAAAAAGGATTTTCTGCATATATTTTAATAATATGTCTTTTCAATATACCTTTGTATCTCAGACTAGTCTGTTCATTTACTCTCCCCTTCGTTAGAGTTCTGGTTAAAAGAAGTGTTTGGTCATACAGAGAGCCCCGTGGCCATCATCAGGTGTGCTCACATCACACGTATTTACACCCCTGACAACGGTCACATACTCGTAATTTACACAATTTGTCGAATAATTTAGGTTGGCGAATATAGCAGCGATACACGTACCAAAGATCTGCCATATTGTTTTTTTTTTTGGGGAAGATAATTGTCTTTTAATTTTATTCCTTCAATTAATATCGTGAAAACGGAAACCTCACGAATTTCGCAAGCTCACAAACGGCTAAAGTCATGTTTGAATGTTACAGTGTTTCGTATTTTATTATTTAACTTTATCATTAAAAGATTATTATTAATATTGAAAGCCTTACAGATGCAATAAATTAATGGCATCCGGTTATAGGCTGGATAAAGAAAATAATTATCAAACAATACCAACCTAGACAGCTCATACCGATTTATTAGATGCAAGAGTTTTTTTATATGCAAAAAAAGTAATCCTTATCTATGGAACTAAAAATTGAATTTTTAGCTATAAAGATTTTTAGATGCAAGTGATTTAATGCGCAAAAAAGAATTTTTAGTAAAACAAAACAATTCTAATTACTGGTGTATAACGAATTAACTAACGATCGGAACTTAATATTTTAAATTAAAAAAAATATATTCCGATAGGTGGAGTAGTTAGTGCTAGTTGAGAAAATGTGAAGAAGACTGTAGAAGCTCGATACATAAAAAAAGATATGAATTTCATTTTAATTTATCGATCATAGGTTTAGGTATATAGTCCATACTAATATTATAAATGTGAAAGTGTTTGTTTGTTTGTTTGTTTGTTTGTTTGTTTGTTTATCCGTCTTTCAAGTCGAAACGGAGTGATGGACTGGCGTTTTTGTGTGGAGATATTTAGAGGGCTGGAGAGTAACATAGGCTACTTTTTACCGCGAAGATTATCTCATTCCCACGAGAAAACACGTTATAGTATTATATAATCCAAATTGTATAATCCAAAAAATATTTATGATCAGAATTACTTGAAGCTCGGTATTAATGCTCTTCAATAAAATTAAATAAACATTGTTTGTTTGCATATTTTAGCATTTTTCGAAATTCATCCTATAAGAGGGTAAAATAGGGGATGAAAGTTTGTACGAACACTACCTTTTTAGAGTCCTTTTTTTTGTAGTTTTAGCGCAAACGAAGCCGCTGGTTGTGCTAGTATATGTATAATAGCAAAAAGTAGGCGCTAAAGAAAAGAAAATATCATAATTGCTTCAATTGTATTTGCATTCAGGCAGAGAAAATATCAACGTATTTTATGTTTCTATTTTTAAAATAAGTCTATTATTTTTCAGCTACTTACATGTACATGTATAGGGCTCCACTACCACAGCTACAATGGCCCTGATATCGGCATGTTGGTCAGTGGTACCTACGTTGGCTACCTTATAGTATTCGCAGGATATGCTGCAGGTGATGTATTTTTATAGATCGTATCGATAGCATTATTTTAAATTAAAACTCATTTAACACCCTCTAGATAATAGTATAAGTAATATCAATTATACAGACATCTGAAGAAAATCTTTTGCACAAAAAATCAAGCTACCGACTTGAGTAAATTAAACTTTATGATGATTTAAAATAATAGGTACCTATACTTTCAAACTTGATATTAATACCTTAGTTGGTGAGAGGATGCGCCGGTACGCGCATCTTCTTCCGCCACCCTAGAGGAGCTACTGCGGGGGGGTCTCTCGTTGACTCCCCTGCACGTCATCGGGGCGGTCGGGATGCTCTGTGAATCGAGGGCATCCCGGTTTAGGCGAGGCAGGCCCGCGGGGTACGGGCTGTCCGCAGGGGTGTTGCAGTGAATACGCAAGCGATCCTGCACACCCCATTGCACTGCGGCGACGGGTTCTGCTGTGGGTTTTAGTGAGTAGGAGTCTAGTACCCTACCCATTGACGGCCGGTAGGGTCCCCATGATGGGTTTCCCCAGCGTCAACAAAAAAAAAATACCTTAGTTGGTAAAATTTTGTGGCTCGTCGATATTTTTCACAGGATATAATTAAACGGATACAATTTAAGCAAATCTTTAACTTTGTGTTGTCTCGTTTCCAGGTTACCTGATGCAAACACCCTTACAAAAGCGTCTTGATCTATTTTATTCCATAGTAGGTGCTTTGCTCTTCGTGACGAGTGGAGCTGTGGTGATCGACGGGTAACCAGTCAAATTTTTTAACACTTTATTTTCTCTGTTTTCTCGTAGTTCATCATTATTTAAAAAAACCCCACCATCGAAGGTGGAATTACCACTTTTAATTGGTTTTGAAGTGGGTGTAATTTTTATTATACAAGTTTCTTTATTTTTCTAATATTATATTAACATAATGTCGAACTTGTTACTCTTATTATTATAGTCAAATTCTACCAAATCTCTTTCTTGTATGTATGTATTCAGCCCTTTTTTTAACGTCCCACTGCTGGGCACGGGCCTCCCTTCAATACGAGGTGGATCAGGCCTTTGTCCACCACGCTGGCCAAGTGCGGGTTGGCGGACTTCACATGTCTTTCAAAAACTTGCTAGGTTCTCTCAGACAGACCCGGGATTTGAACCCGCTTCACTCGGTTTTCCAAGCGAGCGCGTCACCACTGGTACTATGGTATTATCATGCAATCAGATATTATTGCCGAGTTGTCCATGTTCAGTGGTCATATATTTTTGCTCGTGATTGTACACAGATTGACTATGACCCAGAGTAATATATGGCTACTTTGAGACACCTAGACTCATCGGAACCGCTAAGTCGCTAGTAATTAATATATATTTTATTAAATAAAACTATCTTTTCGGATTATTTCGCGGATTTATTTTGATTTCTTTGGTTCCCGACGTTTCAAATGCTTTACAGCATCCATGGTCACGGGAGAGACTGAGATGTTACATGTCTTGAAGGTATAGTTGTTACAGACAGCCTACCCACAATTAACAAAATGATAATTGCACCAATTACATTACAATATTTTTTAACTTTAAAAACTAACACTAAAAAAAAACTAAACTTAAATAAAAAAAAATTGTAATGTAATTGGTGCAATTTTCATTTTGTTAATTGTGGGTAGACTGTCTGTAACAAGACACCTTCAAGACATGTAACACCTCAGTCTCTCCCGTGACCATGGATGCTGTAAAGCATTCGAAACGTCGGGAACCAAAAATCAAAATAAATCCACGAAATAATCCGAAAAGATAGTTTTATTTAATAATGTCAAACATTCGCGTAAATCTAAGAAAGTATTAATATATATTTTTTCCCATTCTCAGATTATACAATTTTCCAACAAGTGAATACAAGCGAATTAATATGGCGAAGGCTTCGCTGTCCATCGTCACCGGTGCTGTATTTTTGACTGACGCTGTATTAACTTACCTGAAGCGTTAAAGTTGCTTTAAATACGTTAGTAAACATAGTTTAACACTCAATTCTTTAAGTTTAAGCAAAATCAGCAATATTTCATTATTTTTTTACCCATATCTTGAAATACTTATAATACTTTCGTACATTACGATTACAGTACAATTATACTGTTATTTATTTTATTGTTCTTTTTACAATAGAATATGTTCACTTCATTTATGGAACATTTATCAAATCAAATGAAAATAGACTTTTACAAGCAATTTGGAATCGTCAATTTTACATTTTAAATTAAAATTAAATGTCAGTGTAGCCACGAGTCAGTCCGTGAGGAGTCTACCACCGGCTCGCAAGGCAGTTCTGCTGAGAAGAGCCGGCGAGAAACACAACAGTAGCTCTTTTAAAATAATAATTGTGTACAATATTGTAATACAATAATCAACTGACTTCCAAAAAGGAGGAGGTTCTCAATTTGTCGGAATCTTTTTTTTATGTATGTTCACTGATTTCTCGAAAATGCCTGAACCGATTTGATTTTTTTTGTTTCAAAGGTTATACTCCCCAGGCGCGCGGTCCCATATAAATTTTATCGAAATCGGTCGTGGGGTTTTTAAAAAATCAACTATAAATTATTTTTTTAATTATTATCTATTATTATCTATTATCTATTATTTATCCTACGTGGACTTAACCAGACATTAAGTCCACACATTGATATCTGCGAAGTATTCCGTGACAATATAATAAGCCTTAGTCAGTAATACATTTTTAATTTTAGACTTAAATTGTTTAATCATCATTGTCAACGATATTTATTTTATTTAATTAACAAAACTCACATAATAAGTAAAATAGGTATAAAGATTATAAATATGAAAGTATTTGAGTTATTAACATAAAATATCTTTGACATAAGTGTGATATGAGATATTATTTGTTGGATTTCAATCATTTCAAGATTATTTGTATATAATATATTAAATTATCTAGATTCTAGACGAAGTATAAGCTTTAAATGTATAAAAATAAACTTAGAAACGAAATAATCAAAACAAAAAAGAAATTGTTTCTACTAAGTAGTTTATTGTATAGTAGATATCTATCATAATTCGCAAATAGTCTAAGAATTTTGTTAATTCAAAATGTTTAATATATTGTTCTTGTGTTATTAAAATAATCCTATATGATAATATATTTCTAATATAATTTAAAAAAGAAAAAGTTTTTTTTTTTCAATATACTACTTAACTGTTTATAGTAAACGTTAATGTAAATAATTAGGTACTTACTTTAATGAAATAATAAAACACTTGTTTTATAATAATTCATAATAAAAAATGATGTATATACTTAATCATGGTATCAATTATACAGCCTTTATAATCCATTAATTTTCATAATCGTGATTATAATATATCATCTTACTTGCGTGGTACTCTTGAGCTGTTACAGCGTGAAGAAAATATAAACACATAAAGGCTCGCACCCACCAGTCTGAAGACTGAGACGATCTAGATGCGCAAGAGATACGCACAAGTGTGCAGTCATAAATGTATTACCTATTCCACTCATACTAGTTCGGGGCAACAATTCGATACGCGAAACACGGGTGAGAACAGAGAATTAGGCATCAGAATCTACTAATTCGACATCTAATTCAACAGCTTTACATGGTCTCCGAGGCTCGGACAGCTACTGAGAATTTCATTGCAAAAAAAATTCAAGAACTATTTTAATTCAATACAGAACTCTATCATGTGTAAAGATAATTCTTTAAACTATTCAATTTTTTGCAGTTACAAAGGCATTCATTATAAATTGAGAATCAGGTACAAACTCTTTGGAACGAAAAAAGTTAATACTGGCTAGTAAGGGTGGAATATTGATTAGGTTTAAGAAAACAATAATTTAAATACCTTTTGTTTTTTTTTAAATGGAAGCATTTTGTTTGCAGTCTGTCGTAGCGTGTTGTTTAAAATGAAAAAATAATAATTGTGTGCGGTTATTAAGTATCTGTGCTTGAAAAAATTCATTACGGAACGACTTTCTGAGGAGTCTCTGAGAGGACAGATTCGATTCGAAATCGTGATCGTAGTCGTAGCAGTATTTGAATTTTTAGGTGCTCAGGATGAAGAGTTTTTCAAGAAAGAGATTTTGAGTTTCGAAAAAGATATTCCAAGTGTAGGTACTATGCAAAAAGGCGACTATATCGAAAAATAAAATAACCTTTAATAAAAGTTACCGGCGGCATACTCATCCTCACTTTTTATTGAACGCCACTCGTATAAGTTATTTTACTTATTACTAGATTTCAAGTAATGGAACTCATAAATAAAATCGAATAAATGATTCAAAGACTACATACAATTCCTTCTTATTTTGCTTCCAATAATATAAGAAAGCGGTAATGTTGATGCCACATCTAAGTACACATCTATTAGCCTAAGCACAAAAATTATTGGGATTTGGCAGTTCGGTAATAGTTGAAAAACTACAATTGTTTTTTCTTTAGGATGTGGATTACTCACAGGCGTTTCATCCCATCAGACTTCTTTTCTCTAGTTGTTTCGCAGCTTCTAAGTCGACGTTCTTATTTGCACATACATAATCCAATCATCAAGTAGCCATAATAATCCATCACAATTTCCCCTAAATTTCCCTTTTGTAAACAAAGTAATACAGTACTAAAAGTACCATGGTATATGGTATTAAATGCTTGTATTGGAAAAAAGAGTGATGCTTTGCTCAACTGGGATAGGTCTATCATCGTTGAAATATTTTGTTGACTCCAATAGACTACTACTCCTTAAGTTCTGAAATAATTAAGATTAATGAACCAACTGGCAACTAGACGTATAAGTAATAATGAACTAACAATTAAATTACTACTTTAATGTTTTACAAATTTTCCACTGTTATTACTTCTTATTATATCAATGGATAGCGTGAACTGACTTTTCAGTTTATTAATTCAAAATTAAAGGGTTCAGTAAACCAATGATGATACTTGTACTTATAATTAAGTTCAAAATTCATTTGTGTGTATACTTTATCAGTTCTGTGAGATAAATCTCTGATTTCTCCTTTACTTGGCTATGAATATTTAATTTTAGATAGAGTAATAATAATTCACCACTGATTTCGTAATAATATCTTTCAAATAATACAGTGAAAGTTTTGGTTTGAAATTTATTCAGTCGTGCATACTTTTTAGTTCTTAATTTATATTTTATTTATTAGAAAAGATATTCACTGGGCAAACTTACTTTTTTATCCCTTAACTATTTTTTTCCTTAATTTATGCAGAACAAATAGATTATTGAATAAACATCTACGAGGACGTGTGTCTATACATTATGAAATATTATTGCTAAGTAAATTACTTTTATATCAATGCACGGTATCAATTCAATAAACATATTAATATTTACATGAATATAAAACAAGTAAAAGGTTTTAATCATTAATCATTTGCGATAATATTATTAATATATTTTTGATAGACTTATGAGAGATTCAGTTTCATTTATAACGTTCACAATTCAAAAGATTGTAGCTTTAACAAAGTTTTACATTTTTGTGATAAATAATTAAAGTCATAATGATGGGGATATTTACTGTTATTACAGGACTCATGAACATCTCACAAAGCTCTGATATTACTGATAAAGCCGCAACTGTTGCTAATAAAGTCTACACTATTTACGATAAAACTTCAATTATATGGTATAGTGATGAGGATCATATCGATAGATTTCTTCATCAGTTCAAAGGCTCAACTATGACTATTGCAGCGGATAACCTTTTATATTTGAATGATACGCATTTTCATAAGAAAAATATATATAATCAGACTGTTATCTTTGCTAATAGTCCAAATGAATTTGATTTTATTATTAAAAATATAAATAATAACAGAACGCTTCCGATTTATGTCATCTTAGTTATAGCAAACGAATATGAAAAAAATCTAATTGAATTTACGGAGATAGCTTGGAATAACGATGTAAGTGATATAATAATAATAAGCAAAGATGCTGATAACAACATCATATTTTCAACATACATGCCCTATAGCAATGGAGTGTGTGGTAATTATAGTCCAATTTATTTAAGATCCGAATCCAAACTATATTTTATGAGCAAGTACAAAAATTTTCATAAGTGTCCAATCAGAGTTACTCTACTAGATTTCAGTCCTTACCTTAAGTTGAAATTTGTAAATGAAACCGTTACTGAGGTAGCTGGTATAGATGGTAATTTGCTAAAGTTGTTAATAGAAATATTAAATGCTACAATGGACATAGTGGCATGCACTGATCGTGGTGGATTTGGCGGCGCAAATAGTGGACCAAAAGCTGGTTCCTTTAATGACTTATTGAATCATAAAGCAGACATAATGGCGCCTGCTGTTGTTATGGCATCTAAAAGATATGAAGTGGCGCAAATTTCCTATGCTCCAGATTCAATAAATATAGTTTGGTGTATGCCTAATCAAAAAGAAATTCATGAATGGGCAAAAATAGTACTTCCTTTTTTTAATATTTCAACGCCACTTATTGGAGCTGCATTCCTGATCATGTTTGCTACAATAAAGTTCATAAAAAAATATGCATTACTCAAAGATGAGTCAAAAAATGATATTACATTTAGAATGTTCAAGATATTCTTAGGCCAAGAAACAAAGTTTTTATCACGTTATTGGCTTGTTAATAGTTTATATGCTTCTTGGATATGGCTTTGCATAATTGTACGTATTTCTTATCAAGACGATCTCATAGGCGGCTTACAGAAAACTATTGTAGAGCCTAAAATAACAACCCTAAATGAAGCGATGGCTGTAGTTGATCAAGTTGGTGGTATGTCCATTTTCCGTGATTTCTATGATAATTCAACACTCCATAAGAAGTATGTAACAGTAAGATTAAGAAACCTTCGTAAAAAATTGAACGAAATTTCAAATGGAGACAGTTTTTTATTTGCTGTAGATAAATTGCAAGTACAGTATCATCGTCAAAATGTTCAAATTCTTGACGAACGCGTGTTAACTACACCGACTTGTATTCATATGCGGCCACGGTGGCCTGCTGCCTCTGAAATTTCCGAACTAATTGCTCGCGTCGTAGAAACTGGCTTATATAGGAAAATACGGCGAAATGAGCGTACAGAATGGAATCTAATGTATGGTAATTTAACTGAAACACGCAAATTCAAACCTATCGGACTCAAGACGGTTAATTCATGTTTTTATAGTCTTATGTTTATGTACGTGGTAAGTACGATAGTGCTGCTGGTGGAAATTTATTGGAGTAATAGGATTACGAAAAATTAAGAGAAACCATTGAAAAATAAATATTATCTACTATTATATAACTGTTTTGTCACATTTGCACGTATTATAAAGTAGTTCCATTTCACGTAGCAAAATTAAGACTAGGAAAACAAGATGAGTTGATGCAATGTTAATCTTTAAAAATATAAGATATTTAAATAACTTATTCGAACTTTGTATTATTTCCATGTATAATTAAAAATATGACTCCCAATTTAATTATTTATACTATTTTTTTAAAATAAAAATACAGTACAGTACATCAGCTATCTGCCAGTGAAAGTTCCATCAAAAGCAGTCCAGCCGTTTCGGAGATTAACCGGAATAGACAGACAGACAAAAATTGTAAAAACTGTGTTTTCTTTATAAGCACTGTATATAATTCCATATGCATTTAGGAAAAAGCTGTTATTTCGATATTACGAACAGACACTTCAATTTTATTTATATGTATAGATGATCGTAAATATTAAGAATAGCTTTAGCACAGATCACGTAATACATACTGGGTATATCTAATAGCAGTTGTTGTCCTTTTAGTTCTGAAAAATACTATGAAGTATACAATCACTATCTGCATTCAAAGAATTTACTAGGATATTCTTATCATCGTTTGCGAGGACCGATAGGTACTTTGTATATAAACGAATGATTGGATATTTATATTTTGAATAAATTTCGTCTTTTGAGATCAGTATGAAAGATTATATTACTATTTGAATTTGACATTGGCTGATTCTACGATTTCGATCCAATTCGGTAAAAATGAGAGAAATTATTAGATTTTCAAAATTTTGATATATTTTGAAAAAATGACTATCAACAACTAAGGAATAACTTTTTTTTTTAATTGCACCTATAAATAGCGAAGATATAGGCCTTTGGTTTTTTATTATTAGTAAGGTAATGATTTTTAGGGTAACGGTTATGACTACGTTGTGACGGTAATGACATAGTGACTACTAGTAATGACATTGCTTGCTATCCAATTTCTTTTAAATAAAACACCATATTTTCCTATTCCTTCATTTATTTTCTGTATATAATTATTAGCTCTACAGGTTTACATAATCATATTATGATATTGCTGTGTGTGTGTGTGTGTGTGTGTGTGTGTGATATTGCTATAATAAACTCTCGTTAAAATAAAAATAAATTGTGACATAACCTCTTTTTTGGAATCAGTTCCTAACAATAGCACATTTATCAACTTGTTTAACAGTCTTCAATCTGAAAAAATTAAACTTATTTATGACTTATTCAGTTTAGCAATTACCGTGTACTTAATTAAGGTTATTACTTTGACTGCTATTAAATTACAGGGTATTTAATCAAATCAGTTTTTATTTAGAGATTTAATCAAAAGGTCCATGTTTACATGTACTATGCAAGAACAAGTATTTCTATTAGATTCTTTTGGGAACACTACCCAAAATAGACGATATTTGCAGAATGTTAAATATCCAACTTCACAGTCGTGAGTCTTAAGAAATTTCGCATGCAAATTTGTCAGTGTATCGGTTAGGTACCGCTTCTGCGTAACTAATCCAGCTACTTTTTTAAATTATTTTTTATCCGCTGCTATTTTGCTGTTACTATCATCTTCGAAAAAGTTTTCAATCTCCTGTTTAATTTGTTTTTCATTATTTTCTTTAATTTTTTGTTATTTTACCGTAAGTGAAGTTATAGTATTCAAAATTTTGTGTTTTTTGAAGTCTTCTTTGACAAATAAATCGCTAAATTTGCGTTTATCATTTTTTGGCATAGTTTTGTATCCAGGTTTTATTTTTCTAGTAACGATTTCACCAAAAATAAGTCTTTTCTTTACCTCTTCTTTTTAACTTTCTTCTATATTCTCAATTAAACCTGGTACTTTCTGTTCTGTCGATGGATTATTTACTTGCGATTTTCTTTGGTCTTTGATGAGTCTATGTAAAGTTCTCTGCATTGCTTCTTTTTTTGTGTTTCTTCTAAGTCTCTTTTCGGTTCTAACATTCTTTTATGATATACATCGTTTTTAATGCAATCAGTACAAACATTTGGATTTATTATTTTATTATTGAAGTCAGATTGCTCGCTTCAAAGATGTGCGCCGATGGTCCTTCTAAAGGATCTACAACGGCTGGGGGTACTGGATCTAGATCACTGCCAGGGGGAGAATTGTCAATCAATTGCGCTATTGTTCTTTCTTTTTTCTTTTTTTCCAAATAGCGTTTGCAACTCTTTATCCAATTTCTTATTTTTTGACGCTGTTCCTTTGGAGTTAAATCTCTAATACTTTTAAGTATATTTTGCTCTCTTCACTGTAAATATCTTATCTTTTCTTTTTCAATTGAATATTTTTCTGGATCTTCTTTTTATGTCTGCGTATTTTTAGCCTCTTATAAAGTCGAGCCTGAGCCAATTTTTCCTCACGGGTTTCTTGGTCTTGACTTGTCATAATTTTACCTTAAAGGAGAAAAAAAATCGTCAGGCATTAAGCAATAATATTACGTTAAAACCCTGGAAGAAACTTAGAAATAGTATAGCGAACGACATTTCAAAAACAAAAGCGAGAAAATATATTAAATATATATAAATGTTCTTCATTGTTCAATTTATGGTGGACTAGCTTTTACCCGCATCTCCGTTCCTATGACATAGAGTACATGACTACGATAAAAGTACTCTTAGCCATATTTTGGGCTCAAACCATCCCTACTTAAAAACCATGTTAATAAACAAATATTAGTAGCAATGGTGATTAAATTTTGAGCTACTGCAGTGTTTTGTTGGATTATACATATTAATCAATCTAACTTTATCTAACTTGCGTATTTTTAATAAAACCAGAAAAATAAAAATAAATCAAGTCTGGATCATCACCATTACTTTTGCGTCATTACCTTTACACTTTAAAACTGATGGTAATTGCTGGTAGTGACTAAGAGGGTAGTGACGTTTTGTGTCATTTTTATTTTTAATTCCGTTATTATAACTGTAAAAAAAATATATAAATTTACTCGTAAAAATTGAACTTAGGACGAATATTGTAGACGTATTAATAAACATAAATAAATTTACTCACCCGAAATATTTTGGTTACGGTAAAGACCACCAAATGTGACAAACGTGATTTCTTACAACACTAACGTAAATATATTTTTTCACTCAAACATACGGGTTTCTCCGTCGGGTTCTCTTGGTCGTCTGAGCTGTGTGGAAGCGAACGGGATAAGCGAGAAGATAGTAGGATGTACACGTAAAAACATATTTGAATTTCCTCCCCGGCTTACGGAAATGACATTTTTTTCGTGACAAAGATAATTATATTGTTTTAAAAATAACTTAACGTTTTGTATATTTATATAGGATAAAAATGTCAACTTTACAATTGGCTTAACGCAATAAATAAATTATAGGTATATGAAACTGTTATTTCATTGAAATTTAAAATTGTTTTCTTTTGTAGTCACGTTGAGGACACTGAAGGTGGTGACATTTTGGCATTCAAATATTTTTTTTCTTTTTATGGGCTTACTTTTTTATTGTCGTATTTTAGTGTACTAGCTAGATAAGTGTAATTAGGTTGCATTACAGTTATTAAATTGCTCGAAATGTAGATATTTATTTTTTTGTACTATAAAACATGCGATTGGCATGAAATCAGAGAAATACCCCATTACACAATTGAACTAGGTAAATATGTATTTAAATTCTTCAGTAAATGCATTCTACATCTATACATATAATAAATGTCTAACTAAGTTGAATCTGTAATTTAAATATTCTGTGCAAAATCTTATTTGAATAGTCATTATTATCGATACAAAGGCCAAATATATAGTTTTTAGAATTTTTGTCTGTCCGTCTGTCTGTCTGTCTGTCTGTCTGTCTGTTACCGCATCACGAGAAAACCACTTGACAGATTTTTATGAAATTTGGTATGATGATAGCTGGTTATCCGGGTCAACATATAGGATTTTTTACCGCGGGTAAATATCTCATTTCTGAGAAATCTATACAAACCGTTAAAACGTACGTTTCAACAATATAATTGTACTCATACGTAAGCATTTTTTCACATCACATTTTCTTTATAAAAAGAAGTGAAAAGACGGAAATTATTTCTATTTTATCAATTAATATTCTTTATGGTATTTTAATAGAGTAGATTGTGATTTTTTTCATTTACCATATAAATTATAGTACGTGCCTAATACAGATATGTTTCCATGCAAATGGAATTTGTGGTTCGCGTTATCTCGGGAACGTATCTTTAATAACCATAAATCAACAAATCGAGCCGCAGCAATTATTTATAACCTAGAAAAACCTTTGGTTTCAATTTTCCTACAAAGAGATTGAAATATTCCACCAGTTCACATACGGTGGCTGATTAAAAACTCTTCCATATCTTTTAGGGATTTAATGTTTTCTTAATAATTGTATAATATCGAATTGAGTTATATAAAAATACTTTGAATTTCAATTATTTTACTATTTTTAAAACAATTTGTTCATATGTAAGTGTATATCAATTTGAAGAAATCTATTAAAATTTAGGTTTAACATAATGTTATATATTAAAAAAGATTTTTTATAGTGTACTTTTACGTGTTTATAAAATAATTTACGTTGTAAAAGAAATAATTTCTAAAGGTTGCTCTTTAAATACAAGTTTTTTCAATGGAAATTAAAATGCTTGTACTGTCCCTAGCGACTAGCCGGATTCAGTTCAATCCAACGAGAATAAAACCTTATTGCCTTTGGTCCCATCGTAGATATCGACGCACATTTATCTGCCTAATTGTGATAGTTCAAGCGCTACTTTATTACTCTCTACTAATATAGAGTGTATTTAAAAAAAACTTAATTTTAAATGTTATAATTAACTCGCGCCACTCGCGACTGTTCCCCCAGACAGGAGCTTGTGGTACCGGAGCAATCCGGCGCGGACCAACAGCCAGGAGGGGCAGGGGGAGCGGTGACAGGAGGGCGCCGTCTCCTTCTTGGAG